GTGGGGTCTCAGTAAGAAGGTGTTAGAGCAGACTTAGTATACAATTGCGCTCATGTTAGGGGACCTGGGGGAGGGTTTATAGACTTAGTTCTCCGCTCTGGATGAGATGCCATCAGGAAGGCATGGCAGGTTAATTCTGTGAGTGGGAGCCTTAATCAATCTTATCTAGGAGGGAGGAGACTAGGGTGAGACTAAAGCTGCAATTGATGAAGGGGCAGCAGTTCCTCACTGCCGCTGGGGATGTTTGGTCATCGCTGTGGTTTGGACAATGTTCATGTTTTCCTCTGCACTCACGCATGATGTGGGTGGTCTTGTTTTTCCCATGATCTGTCTCAGTGACAAAGTACTATTGTCTGTGTTCTGTGATATTGCTTATGTTCATAGGAGGCTACCAAGACATGGTGTCAGGTTCCAGATGCTGGGGACAGCTTTTCCTTTCTCAGTGTAATCCCTTGCACTGTGGCTTCTGTATGGGTTTGGTTTAAGGGGAGCTGTAGCAGACAAAGGCAGGAGGAAGAGAAAAGGAAAGGCCTGGGTGCTTATTCCCTGGCTTCCTTCCTGCAAGGTACCCTCAGGCTGGCTGCATTGACTTGCCAAAGGTCACAACTCCTCTCAAAAAAGTCCTCAATGATTGAATCTCTTCTCTTTTTTTTCTTTTTTGAGACAGAGTCTCGCTCTGTTGCCAGGCTGGAGTGCGATGGCGTGATCTTGGCTCACTGCAACTTCCGACTCCCTGGTTCAAGCGAGTCCCCTGCCTCAGCCTCCAAAGTAGCTGGGATTACAGGCATGCACCAACCACGCTCAGCCAATTTTTGTATGTTTAGTAGAGATCGGGTTTCACCATGTTGGCCGGTATGGTCTGGATCTCCCGACCTCGTGATCTGCCCGCCTCAGCCTCCCGAAGTGCTGGGATTACAGGCATGAGCCCCTGTGCCTGGCCAAGTCTCTTCTTTTATGTCTCCAAAACATCTCCCCTTTTTCCTCCCTGTGGTAATTGGGATCGGTGGGAATAGCCCCACTGTTATTGACCCTGGGCTATAGCGCTATCCCATTTAGTTTTCCCCTCATCATGACCACACTTTTGAAAACAGCTCCTGAATGAAATCTTCCTTGAATTACCAGATCTGAGTCTGCCATTGATTCCCATCAAGACCCTCCCTGATACAGATCTCCAGAATTTAGGCTGATTTATCCTTCCACAGCACTGGGTTCTGATCTTCACATTGACTTGAAGGGTTATGAAGCTGGAGGGATCCATCTGGAGTGTCGGTCCACTGGCTGGTACCCCCAGCCCGAAATACAGTGGAGCGACGCCAAGGGAGAGAACATCCCAGCTGTGGAAGTGGAAGCACCCGTGGTTGCGGACGGAGCGGGTCTATATGCAGTAGCAGGATCTGTGACCATGAGAGGCAGCTCTGCGGAGCAGGTGTCCTGCATCATCAGAAATTCCCTCCTCGGCCTGGAAAAGACAGCCAGTATTTCCATCGCGGGTTAGTGCCTGCTTGGCCTCAGCTTTACTGAGCTGAGCTGTGGCAGTTGAATGAAGGGAGATGTGTGAGTTTCTACTGTGTGAGTCTCTGGAGTCGACCTGGGTCTCTGCACTGCATGTAAGGCCCAAAGCAGGGACCTGGAGGCTCCTGCCTGCTCCAGGGGAGCTTCCCTCCTCCACAAAGCTGTTCATGACACAAACATTTACTGAACATTTCCTGTCTGCCAGAAAGTATGACAGGCAATGGGAATTGGGGGAAAAACGTTAACATAAGCTTCTTATGTAAAGTCAAACGTCAAAATGGGAAAACATATATATATTTATAAACTCATAAAGAGGTGATCTCCTTGAAACCAAAGATTTTTAAAACTGAGTAAAACAATTTAACAAAGGTCATTAATTATTCATTCACAGAAAAGGAAATAACCCACAAAAGGGTGCTCATTCTCACTTATTAGGGAAACATATGAAATCATTTTTCACTTATGGTATTGGCAAAAATCAAAACAAAACTGCCTGGTTGATAACACATGGCTGTGGCAGGAGTGTAGGAAGGCAGTGACTCTGGCGTTTGCTCACGTCACTTCTATTTTTGGTGCGCATTAGCACAACCTCTGTTGGGGAAATCTATCCAAACTACGTATTTATTGATCCAAAATTCCAGTTGTGGAAATTTAGCTGATAGGTAAGCTGGTAATTTGTATGAAATGATCCATGAAAAGAGTTTCTGAGTTTTTTGTTTGTTTCTTTGTTTTGAGAGGGAGTCTCACTCTGTTGCCCAGGCTGGAGTGTGATGGCGCAATCTCAGCTCACTGCAACCTCCTCCTCCTGCATTCAAGAGATTCTCCTGCCTCAGCCTCCCCAGTAGCTGAGATTATAAGTATGCCATCACTCCTGCTAATTTTTATATATTTACTAGAGATGTGGTCACCATGTTGGCCAGGCTGGTCTCAAACTCCTGACCTCAAGTGATCCACTTCTCTCAGCCTTCCAAAGTGCTGGGATTGCAAGTGTGAGTCACCATGCCCAGCCTGTGAAAAGTTTCTTATAGCATTAATGATGATTGTACAACATTAGAATCTATGCAGATGCTCACTGATGGTGAACTCCTATACAAGGGAATACTACCCAGTTGTGAAAGAAAAAAGAGATAATTCTCTCTATACTAATATGGAAATATCTCTGAGATACACTTTACACAGAAAGAGGAAGATACAGAGTGATGTGTATAGAATGTTATTTTTAGTTTAAACAAGAAGAAAAATAGGAATATATTTTAATTTACTTTTTTGTTTAGTTCTCGATTATGTTAATTTACACTTTTAAAATTTAACAAGCAATTTTGTAACACTCACTGTGCATCAGGCACTTTATTATTTATTTATTTATTTAGAGACCAAGTCTCACTTTGTCACCCAGGCTGGAGTGCAGTGGCACAATCTTGTCTCACTGCAACCTCTGAGCCTCAGCCTCCCAGGTAGTTGGGATTATAGCCGCACGCCACCACGCCCAGCTAATTTTTGTAATTTTAGTAGAGATGGGGTTTTACCATGTTGGCCAGGCTGGTCTCAGAACTCCTGACCTCATGTGATCTGCCCACCTCAGCTTCCCAAAGTGCTGGGATTACAGGCGTGAGCCACTGCACCCAGCTCATGAGGGACTTTTAAGTATTAATTTAATTCTTCTAATCTTAGGAAATAGGTATTCTCATTATGCTCATTTTATAGATCAGGCCACTCCAAACAGAGAGGTTATGTAAGTAGTCCAGCACCACACTGCTAGTCACATGAAGGAGCCAGCACTGAAAGCTGTGTCCTCTGACTCCACAGTTTATGTTTCTAAGCATCATATTAAGTGGACTAAGAAGTTAAAAAGTAGAGGGAGGGAGGACTGGGTGGATGGAAGAGTTGCATGACTTTATGTAGATATAGTTTTGGAACCATGTATATGTGTCACCTATTGAAAAAATACTTAGAAACAAATGTGTATGACTCTGCTCAAGGTACTTCCCATGTGAGAGGCAGACATCTCGAGATAAGTAATAGTAGCAGCTCTCAGTGAGGGCCTACCAAAGTCTTCCCTATAGTCCTCTGAGACTTTAGAGAGAGAACACTTACAAACCTCGCAAGATAGATTCCACGCCCCTGACCTGGGCTGAGCAGCTAAAGTTTGGGGTGGTGCAGGCTGGGGAGGCTGAGTGCACCTGGTGCCCCTGACCACAGCTCCTCCTTTCACAGACCCGTTCTTCTGGAGCGCCCAGCCCTGGATCGCAGCCCTGGCAGGGACCCTCCCTATCTCGCTGCTGCTTCTCGCAGGAGCCAGTTTCTTCTTGTGGCGACAGCAGAAGGAAATAATTGCGCTGTCCAGGGAGACAGAAAGAGAACGAGAGATGAAAGAACTGGGATATGCCGGAACAAAGCAGCAAATAAGCATTAGAGGTATCCAACTCGAGCAGAGAATCTGAGCCCCTGGCTTGCGTGCCCCAGCCTGAAGCTCTCACCCCTGTCCCCACCCTGCTTCATGTTTAAGGTTTGTTTTCCCGAAACCCCCCTCCCCCCTTACCATTTTTTTTCTTTTTTTTTTTTTTTTTTTTTTTTTTCTTTTTTTGCTTATTTTCCAGAGACGCTCCTGGAGGAACTCAGTAAGTTTCCATTCCCCCAGACACCCAGGCATGTCTTCCTGTCCCCACACTGAGCACCTTGATGACTCTTCCCTGTTCATTCCATTGCAGAGTGGAGAAAAATCCAGTACCTGGCTCGTGAGTAGCTTTGACATTTTCTCTGAATTTAAATCTGTGACTCTCTTTGCCTGGAAATATTCCAGCACGAAAGTTTTTGCCCAGGGTTGAAAATGGTCCTGGATCCCTTTACTTAGGAAAAGAAAATAAGTGTTACTCTTTGGAGAAACCCTTCAGAAGGAGTCTTTCTCTCTCTCTCTCTCTCTCCCCCCCTCCCCCCCATCTCTCTCTTGGGAAAAAATAAGAAAAAAAGAGGTCTTCAATCTCTTTGTACTAGAGGCTACAGATCTTTATGCCCTAAAAAGCACTGAGGAATATCCAGGGGTACACTTCAAAATGAAGAGCGAAGAGAAGGATGAGGTGCATTTTCTATGGCAGGAAAACCTTACTTGTTTTCCATAATCTAGAGGATGTGGAAAGGAAAACAAGAATGGAAGATTTAAGAAATAAGAAAATCAGAAAAGAGAGAGGAAGAAAAGTGTGTCTAATAAATAGGAGTAGCTGCAGTGGTTCAGTTGGTACTGATTTATCATAACCGCTTTCAAAAAACTAGTCCCTAAAATTGCTCATTAAATTTCCCAAATTCTTTTTGGAGCAAAGTAGGAAATGATACAGATTGAGAAAGATGGACCTTGTACTCTTATACATACACATATAGACATGGTGACACCTATGCCCAGGTACAAGAGTATAGATGAGATTCAAAATAGATGAGCTGGACTCCACTGGGAAGGAACTCTCACAGTGCCTGCGCTGCCACTAGCATTCAACCGATGTTCCTAGACTTGATATTAAGCAGAAGGCGTAGAGAGATTGAACCTGCAGAGTGAGACCACAGGGTAGGGTGGGAAGGGTGGGATGGTCAAAAGAAAGGCTAGATGGATGTGAAAGGAACAAGAAGGGGCCAACACAGAAAAGGCAGAGTTTAGATGACATCTCTATCTTTCTTTCATTGTAGGGGGAGAGAAGTCTTTAGCCTATCATGGTAAGTGAGCCTGATGCTCTGTAAGTTTGCTGGGTCACGTGCCATAAACATTTCCACCTTTTCTCTGCTGTGGCCCATTGACGATCTCAGTTCTATTAATCATATCTAATCCAAAGATTCAATTTTGCATGGTGGGGGGTCAGCTTCTGCTCTTCTAGAGATCTAAGAGACTCCTAACCCTGAACACACCCAGGTGAAGCCTGGCCTTGCGGTCTGTTCCCCTCGTGACGGAGTAACAGAGCCTGCCATTT